GCTAGTAGGTTGGAGGCCATCGCTAGTAGGTTGGAGTTCTTCGCTAGAAGGTTGGAGTCCTTCGTTAGTAGGTTGGAGGCCATCGCTAGTAGGTTGGAGGCCACTGCTAGCAGCCTACCTAGTTCTCAGCAGATCATCAGGACCAAATCTCTCACTTGAGCTGAGAGTTCGAGCGAGCTCGAGCTCGCCGAGGTCGCAGATCGTCCAAAGGGATCTGGGTGAAGAGGCCCAGAGTCTGATGCTTAATGAGGCAAAGAAGGGACATGCATTGCGGCAAAGTCTTTGGAGCATGTACTTCTTCAGCATTGGAAGATGTACTCCTTTCAAAAAAAAAAGACAACAATTGAAAACATAGAAAAGAGAACGCATTTGCACTCCCTTCATGATCGGATTTGTTGCAAGCCAAGATCGACACCCAGGACGCCACTTGACTCCTCGTCAGACCTTGGTCTTCTGCAACATGCTGACGGCCTGCAAGCTGTGACCCCAGGTGGATGGTTGGGAACGTGGTGTTCCAGCTGAAACGTGGTGACTCCAGTGATTGAGGTCGATTGCCTATCAGCTCAAAGAGAAGTATCCCAATGCGCAAGAGTCATGGCTCTCAGACCAAACAACGCAAAGACACGAGTATCAAATGTAGACATGGGCATAGCGTAGAACGGCCTTTAAAACACATTTCTTGCTGAACTCTCTCTACTTGCAGACTTTGCTGGCCAAGTATCCCAGAATTGGCTTACGGGAAATCCACAGGACACCCATAGTTTTGAAACCATTGTTTCCGGTAGATTTTCCCTTTACCCATTCATTGAACATACTTTCAAATATATATCAACACTTACTCGCGAAAATCCTTAGTTCGATCCATTCCCTTCACCAAGCAGCCGCTTTTCGGGTTTTTGCCAAGTCCATCATTGGAAGATCAATTGGGTGTTCTTGATTATTGGTGGGAACAGGAGAATTGGGATGCTACACAAGGAGATGCTCACAGCCGCTTGGTCGTTGGTGAAGCAGAGTGGGCCGAGAAGCAGCGTTCACAGCACAAACATCTGGTCATTTGGTCGATGTTTTTGGTGATATACTAGCGATGGCCTCCACCTAATAGCAATGGCCTCCAACGTACTAGCCGTGGCCTCCAACCTACTAGCGGTGGCCTCCAACCTACTAGCGATGGCCTCCAACCCACTATAGATGGCCTCCAATCTACTAGCTTTGGCCCCAACCTACTAGCGATGGCCTCCAACCTACTAGAGATGGCCTCCAACCTACTAGCGATGGCCTCCAACCTACTAGCGATGGCCTCCAACCTAGAAGCAAAGGCTTCCAACCTGCTAGCAATGGCCTCCAACCTAGAAGCGATGGCCTCCAACCTGCTAGCAATGGCCTCCAACCTACTAGCGATGGCCTCCAACCTACTAGCGATGGCCTCCAACCTACTAGCGATGGCCTCCAACCTACTAGCGATGGCCTCCAACCTACTAGCGATGGCCTCCAACCTACTAGCGATGGCCTCCAACCTACTAGCGATGGCCTCCAACCTACTAGCGATGGACTCCAACCTACTAGCGATGGCCTCCAACCTACTAGCAATGGCCTCCAACCTGCTAGAGATGGCCTCCAAACTAAATAGCAGTCGTTCGCCTCGCGCACGACCTGCTAGGACCTTAGGGACCCTAGGACCCAACTGACAAGACAGACAGGACAGACCAGACAGACAGGACAGACCAGAAATAAAAACCATTAATTATAAATAGAGAAGTTCCCGTTAAATTTATATAAGATCTTTTATGAATAGCGATGGCCTCCAACCTAAGATCTAGTGTTTTGGTGACATTTTTCAGATTATTTTGGTGACTTTCGAGTGTCTCAAGCAATTTGCTCTCGAGTCGTTCACACCACACCTTTTTCGGTTTCCTTGTAGCTGTTCGCAGTCGCTGTGGAATACTTGTGGATTTGACAGAGGAGTATGACCTAGTGGACAAGCTGCTTTTGTTTCCAACATAGTCCACTGTCTCTACCTCTATGATGAAGTTATCTCTTCTCCTTATGATGCTAGCAGTCGTTTTACTTGTGCAATCTGGCTCAGGCTGAGCGAACAGAGATTCTGAAGAAGCCCGAGCCTCAACTGTGCCATTAACCTCAGCTACAATGCCATCCTCATCTATATCTATATTTTCACTTGTCCTTCGTGACTAGGATGGAGACAAATTCATGATTTTCAGAGAACTTCCCACCCACATGTGATGCCAGGTTTGCGAGGGCAGAGGTCAACGTCTTGGTCTGCACGGACCTGGCACAAAGGGGCCTCGACCTGCCAAATTGCAAGCCGGGGCCCCGGGTCGAAGAAGCCGCTTCAAAAGAGGAATGATTCGATGGTAGTCCCAGTTGGTGAGAAGAAGCTTCCCACAACTTTGCTAATATTCTGCTTTCATTTACCCCCCCGCTTGGTGGCAAACATTCGTGCAAAAGTGTGTAGCTTCTTGGAAGGGTGTTCTAAGGTAATGATGTCCTTACCTAGTTTGCTGGCAGCCTCACGCTTCACTATTGCATTTTCATACATGCCCTGAATAACGGGCAAGCTTTGCGGCTTCATACATATATACATGTAGTCCTTTGAGAGGAGGAACCGCAGTGTTTCTAGTTCATTGTAGTGTGTGTTGAAAGTCTTGAACATTTTCGTGCTGCAGAGATAGAGCGCCATGACCACAGGTTGCTGCAAACCTTGCCTTGCACAGACATATCAGGAGATTTTTATTGTAAACGCGGGAACTGCAAGCCAAACGCTACGTGTTTGAAACGCTACGTGTTTGAAACGCTACGTGTTTGAAAGGCATAAACAATGTTTTAAATTGTCCACTGTCCACAAAAATGGAACATTGCCATTGAACCAGCATGCAATCCACATATATTCCCACACTGACAGTATTTCGATACCAAGCATCGGTGGTACACCTTCTTTCAAACCTCCAGTGTTTTGTTCACACGGGACACCTCCCTCGGTTTCGACTCGAAGATCAGCCGCCGCCGCGTTAGGGCACCGAGTCTGCGTCTCGGTGCTCGTCCGATAGCGCTGCCTCCCGAATCGACGCCGTCCGCGGACTGGACTCACTCTTGGACGGACCAAGAAATAACGCCGAGGCACGTGGTGAACTTTGACTTTCCACTGAACTCCATTGCGCGGAGCCAAAGGATGTGAGGTTCTTTTGGGCGAAGGTGGGTGTCAACGACGTACCGGATGCTAAAGCCCTTAGTGCAGGTCAGGATGCTGTTGCCGGTTTGCAAATCCGTCGCTAGTTGAGTTGAACAGGATGGAATCCGAGTCATTCGCAAACGGAATGGCTGAGGTTGTTTGGCCCAGGTAGGGTGCTCTTGATACCCAGAAATTTAGAGCACCCTTAAAGATGGTGAATGAATCGTTTGACAACCATCGCAGCCGTTGCTCGTTCCTGTCGGATTTGTTGCTAAAACAAGAAACATCGTGGGAAGTCAGATTTCTACCAAACCTGTCACCAATACCCATTGCATTCTCTTTGTCAGCCACCAAATCACCACATGAATCCACATGATATGATGTGAGCAAACCGGCTTGGTTGCTGCGGGTGGTGCGGATGGCCATATGCCCATGGCATGTGTGAACACCGTGCAGAAGCGCCAAATGATGTGGCCGAAGGAGAAGCAATGACGAAGTTGCGACATGGCTTGGATTTTTCTTGGAAAGTGTGAAGACAATGGCTTCGCGGGCCAACCCCCACTCAACGATGGCATGGATCCGAGGATCATATAGAGATCATAGAATACAGATGGAAATAGTGGAATTTAATTTGGGTGGGTTTCCCGGTTTCCCGCTGATGATTCAACGTGTTGGCCCAGGATGGACCGATGGAATGATCACATTCACCAAGATCTCCTGCCCAAGAGTGGCAGTTTCCATCTGTACGGTGGTGGTCCGGCCGAAGATGAACTTTTCGCGTCTTGGTCGAAGGAAGGTTGGGGGTTTTCAAGATCCCGACAGCACCGCATTGGCGCCAGCGGAGCCCCAGAATTCACCGCGGCCGCAAGGCCATGTGGTGCCGATGGCCTTGGAGGACTGGTAGGAGGTCTGTGGGTCATGGCACCAGGAGCCCTGGTCACCCGGACCTACCAAGTACTCTGATTCGGTTCATTTTCGGTGGTCAACCAGCGTTGCCCGGGTTTTGACCCAGGCCATTTCAGACCCCACGTATTGCTCCAATTTCAGCCAAGCTTAGGACTGAGACGCTGTTTTTCAGCTGTCTTCGTTTTCGCTCGCCTCTCCTCACGGTGCCCCACGAGCTTCGCTCGGTTGCTCCGCCGAGGTGCAGTTCCGTCGCGGCTTCGCGGAGCGCGCGCGCCGCGCGCTGCCGTGGCGCTCGATGCTGGGAAGGGTGAAGATCGTGATCATCAGCTGGGGAGCCTGGTCGACCGTGCGACTGACTGGTCCTTCCATCTTGTTGCCACCATATGGAGTGATCGGGAGTGTTTTTTTGCTACTGGCTACTGGTTGAAGGGGTAGATGGAAGACTGGCATAGCTTTGGATAGGCAGTGGATATAGTAGTACTGTTGTTACCTTATGTGGCTCCTCACAGAAGCTGGATTTCCCATTGGTTCTAACTAGTTCTGTCTGAGGTTGTGGCTATAGACCAGATGATCTTTGGGATGAGTGACTTGGACGAAGGGCGGGTTGGACAATCGAAGTCTTGGGTGAGACTTTTCAGATGTGAAGCAGAATGAGGATCAAAGCATGTCTTTGTCCTACCGTCATGAGACGCCCATTCTTGGAGCAACCCTTTGACAAGTCAAGTTTCCCCCAAGGTCTAGGAACCAAATCATTAGTGAGCGCTTCTTCAAGGAAGCTGCTCCCCACCCTCAGGCGCAAAAGCTTCCTTGAAGAAGCGTGAGCTGTCCTGCGTCCTAGCTAGGAGCTTCCTATTGCTAGTAGCTTACTCCTCCCTTACTTAATTGAGTAGGCGCCTACTTAAGGCTCAAAAAAAAACAAAAGTGTGACACTGCAGGTTGACACCTGAGGATTTCGGGTGGTCAGTTCTCCAGTGTCGCCGGTTCAGCGGAACCACCGCTTGAGGTTGGGAGATGTGACTGAAGTCTCTCTCCAAAGCAGAGCGGATGCGGATTCTTTGGGCTTCAAGGGAGGGGGAGGGAGGGAGGGTGGAAGGTGGAACCATGCTTGTTTTTGCATCAATTCCTTCGGTAGTCCATGATGTCCTATTGAGATAGCAGGTGTAATCCTGTCTATGATCTAATAAAAGAATTGTAAAGGATTGTAATATGGCCTATGAATGTCCTTATTTATGTGTGTTTTTGGGGGTCTCCCACGGAAGTGGTCCGGTGAGATCTCTCAAGACCGAACGACGTTGCCACTCCAAGGACTCGGCTCACGTGTCCAGTCTCATCGATGCTGCTCAGTGCGTTTGGTTCACGAGCCCCTTGGAATGGCTTGGCTTGGGGAGCTTTGGGATCTACAGGCTTTGGGAGCTTTGGGAGCTTGGCTTTGGGAGCTTTACAAGGGGCTCGTTGGCTTCGGCCACTCGATTTCGAGTCTCAGATTCTGAAAGAGTCTCGATCAAGTCAGCTTCACCGAAGGACCTCAGCACCGGGATCAGGTGGCGACCAGAGCTGCCTGCGGGGTGTCCTGCGCGGCACGGCTCTGGAGAAGGCGCGGCTCCGTTGAGGACGGTCTCCGTTGGCTTCCGAGGCTTCGAGCGTTTTTCATGCTGAAAAGCACCCATGCAGATTGCACCAACCGACCGGCCCAGAGGAGCCTTTGCATCATAAGCATCATGAAATGTGAAATAGTTTTGCAACGCTGTGGGTTGGCAACCTACAGGTGACCACCATCAACCAACTCTTCTGACTCGCAACACTCAGTACATCAATAAAACATGCAATCGATAATTGATCAGCAGGAATTTGGTCCTCTGACGCTGTAGGTTTGCAATGACAGTTCATCGCAAATGCATTGTAAGCATCATGAGCTGTGCGCTGCTGATAACGCCTCTCACTTTACTCCACAGCCTGGTCGTTTCGGTGTACCAAAACTCACCTTTGCTGACTGCCAGTCTACAGGCATGCAATCAGTTGTTGATCATTAGCACGTTGACTCTTCACAATCAACAGTTCATTCAACGCATCATAAGCATCATGAAACGTGAAATAGATTTGCAAGGCTGTGGGTTGGCAACCCAGAGATGACAACCATCAACCAACTCTTCTGACTGGCAGAGGAGCCAACGGAGACCTTTTGGAGACCGTGACGTGTCGCTCAGGCGCTGCAGCGGCTCCTGCAGCGCCACGGCGCTGTGGGCGGCACCGCGGCAGGGGCGTCCGTGCTGTGCGGCTCGGTCGCTGTAAACCAACAGTTGGTCTACAAGAACATCACGGTATTAAGATTTGAGGCCTGAAGCATCATCGACTGGGCCTTGGATGGCCTTGGTCTCCCTGCATTAAGATTGATCTCTTTTTGGGGTGGGAGGAGATTGGTTGAAGGTTCGTGAGGGTCGACGTTTTATGTCGGCTCGCTCTCAGGTGCACTTTGCCCCAACTTTGACGAGATCATGGAAGGGCTGGACCTGATCCAAGGCACTGTCTTGCCCGTCCGAAGGCTGCATCCTTCTTGAGCTGGGTTTGCAGCTGGGGTAAAACCGCTCTTTGGGCTGGGAATAGTTACTAGTGTGCTGGATCTACAGTAAACCGAACCTATCCCATCTGCACATCACTACTTGACGCAACCTGATGTTATCTGATGTTCCGCTAGGTCTAGCGCTGAGCCACCTCCTCCGTCGGCAACGGCAGCACCGCCTCCGGGCCATTTGCGATTGCTTCCGCCCCGCTTGGGGTTTGGGCTTGGACGAGGGTGCCGGCTTGGTCCTGACGCCCAAGAAGCTCCAGGTCAGCTGCTGGCCGCTTGGATCCGGGTTGGAACTCAGTGAACCGCTGCGGGATGGGAATGGATTGGAATGGATGCGGTTGGAACTAAGTGAGCCCGCAGTCCTGTCAGGTTGACGCCCTGCCTGAGTTTCGCAGAACACATGCTTTCACATGCACTATAGTTTCATGATGTTTCATGGCTGAGGTCCCCAGTGCTGATGGTACGTCATGTGGATGACGAATGTATGGCAGCTCTTTTACCCCCTGGTTTTCAGGGAAATCTGCAGGCTCCAAGCGACGTGCTCCTGACGGTTGAAAAGCTTATTTTGGTGGGATCTTTTCTTGTTTCGGAAGGGCGATCCTCGTACATGTGGTAATTTTTTTCTTTCTTCAGTATATAGTGTGTTTATTATGCTTATTATTTTTTTAAAACAAATTATAGATGGAAGGTAACTGGAAGAGTAACTTATTCCACGAGTCCACTGTGTTCTTTGTTACCGCTTGAGTCCGAAGCAACGCGGAACAGGCAGAACACGACGATAATGCCGGGGGTCGCTGGCGCCACAGGAGTTGCAGCGCCGGATGCGGCCGTTTGGAAGCATCAACTGGGCGCCTGAAGTGGCGATAGCACGAGGACAGGGGCGTGGGCGTGGGAGAGGGAGCGATGCACAGGATGAATGGATGTCACTATGTCTTGAACGTGCCACGTGGTGAAGCGGTGCGGTTTCATGATTTCATATCACAAAGCCAAGTGCTTGATGTGGGAAAAAGAAAGAGTTTTGGTATTTGTTACTTCAGCAGCAGTGAGATTGATGTATGTAAGTGATGCGGTGGCGCCAATGGCTTTTCCATTGTGCTATCCAAGCCTCCAAGTGTCATCAGTTCAGGAGGGATTGTCGAGCAGACGCAACCATTTTACAAGTTCTGAGAGAACTAAAGATCCAGAAGCTTCTGTCCGAGGTCAATGGTTTTCACCATGAGACACCTTACACCTAGACCTAGAGATCTTGGGATCTTAGAGAACGGTCCGAACTTCAACAATTCGCTGCGAATGGTCTGAGGCGAGGAGATGTGGAGCGTTCAGTGGTGCTCGAAGAAGGCGTTGGCAGATGGACCCATCGATGAGGCGATCCTGGACTTGGTGGACTTGGTGCTTGCGGATGCGAACAAATCACCTCTTCTCACGCAAAGAATTCCTGATTCCAATGTCCCCAACCGTTTTCGTTGTCCAAACCCGTTTTCGTCGTTTGGTTTTCACCATTTTCCTCCCAGGTGCAAACGAACGCGACCTTCGAAGATGTCCACTGTTCCTTGGTGACGGGAGCGAACCTGCTGAGCCAAACCGCCTCGTCTTCCACGACATTCACGACGTATTCACGACATCCAATTGCCAAGAAGTGGGCGTATTTTCAATGTATTTCATACGTCGAAAATCTACTAGTACCTCGGAGTGGAGTTCAAGGGGAGACTCTTGAACATGACAAGCAAAGTTCGGGAGTCCAGTCCATCTAAAATGTCCCACCGCGTTGCTGCCAAAGACCGTTCAGATGATTCTGATGTAGAGGAACACAATGTTATCGATGTGGATCCAAGTGTCAACATTAACTAGGTTGGTCTGCTAAAATAGACCTTGGAAGACAAGTGTTACTGTTCCAGCATTGACTTTGGCCACTGGAATAGGTTTGGCGTCTCAGGGTTCTACTTTGATTCTCCACCAAGGCCACCACTTCCTCAGCTGGAAGCTGCCTATGGAGGACCCCTCGTCATCAGGTGTCCTTAGAGGCGTCCGAGGTGTCCTCTCGGTGTCCTCCGTTGTTCAACAGTCTCATCACATGAACATCGTGGGCCTCTGCGAAAGAACGTTGTCACGTGACCAAAGGGACCGTCACTTGTCACCCCGCTGGAAGCGACGGTCCCTTTTGTCCAGGACGCATGCGATGCTCTTTGTTTCAGTGTGGGCCTCAGCTTTTCCTGAAAGCGAAGAATCACTTGGCATGCGGCATGTGTGAAGAAAACAGAGGCTGCCAATCAACGCAGTTTCTATGAAAGGTCGACCTTTCTTTGGCAAGAAGGCTTTCTTCAAGCAATAAGCCAGCATGAGTGACCATGGGCTAGGCCGATTGACATGGGCCCGAATTGAGGCAGCCATTCATACCTGTCCATCTCTTTTGCAGCTTGGATATGATTTTTCAGGCAGTTCCAGCAGGTGAACCCTACCAGAGTATGGGGTCCTCCTCTTTTATGCCCACGGCTGACCGGCCAGTTTCGCCCCTTTTCGTAGCGTCCGATCGCTCCTAGGACTTGGATGACTTGCCCTTGTTGTGCTGCCTCTCGCTGGTGTACCGCACGGGTGAAGGCCGCTTTGCCGCTGGCGCTCAGACCGAGCCGCATGGACTTGTTGTGTAGCGGTCCCCAGCCGGCACAACTGAGCAAACTAGGCACAGACTGAGTGATCTGATGTTCTCACAGTGGAGGTATTTTCTTGTACAAGTTTCTCTTTCTTCTTCAAATGTATTGCACAGCTCACATTATTGCAATTCCAGGTGGGCAACCAGAGGGAGTGGAGATCCTTTTGAATGGCCACCTGGTGAACGGTGACTTGGCCAGAAGTGGTGTCGGAACACTTTGCAGGTGCATTCTAGATGCGAAAACCATACAGTACAACGTTTCCGTCGCTATCAATACGTTTAATGTGTCCTGAAAAAAGGGATGGACTCCCAGTTTGAGAAGCCACTTTGAGGATCTTTGAGATGATTTAGACTCCACTCGAGTCGAGGTCCCTCCCCACCGAGGTCTCCGACCTTCCGACCTTCCGACCTGCCAGCCGAGGTGATCAGACTCAGCTCGTGGTCTTGCCCTACAAGTTCGTGGCGAACAGCTTGATCATCCCCATGGGCACCCTCCGCCTCGGCCAGAACATGCTTCGCGTGGTGGCGTCTTCCGACGTGCCTGGAAGAGATGGAAACCAAGGAACTTCACGAAATTCCACTTTCCAAGGGACCAAAGCAGACACGTGGAGTTTTCGGTTTTCTCCACAGTTTCTGCAACTTGCCAAGGTCAAGTCGCAATCGTGGAGCTTACTTTCGGATGCTCAGCTGCATACGATGCAGACGATTCGTGACTCGTTGGGGCCGACTCGGTGTGGTTTTTCGACCACGAAGCGAAGAACCTCCGACAACGACCCAAACATCCAAAACCGGAAAAAGAAAGTGTTTGGGCTCGTTGGGGCTCCTTATTGAAGGCCCCCAGTTTTTTTAAAGTTATTCTTTTGAAGAGGTTCTTGTTTCCTTCCTCACTGAGGGTCAAGCAGAGCTGCGGACCCCACGCAGGAGAAGGCACTAATTGGATCTAATTGGGATCTGTGACTGGGGAGCGATGGGAGAATCCTTCTCTAAGGTTGTAAGATAGCTGTTCCCATTCCCTGCATGGCGTTTGATCTAGTGTGTTTCGGTGTGGAGGCATCAATGAAGCGAGATTGGACTCTGAAGTTAAGACAAACATCGTTAAGCGGTGTGCCGTAGGCTGCCAACCTACAGTGTAAGAAAATCACAGTTGCATGCTGTGATGCAGATGATGCTTCCTTGATGGATTGCAAGTTCCACAAAAGAAAAATGTAATTGTCATTGCGATGCAAATGATGTTTCCTTGCCAGGACAGTAGGTTGCAAACCTACAGTGCTAAGAAGTGATATTTGCGGGTCTTGATGCACATGATGCTGGCTTGACGGATTGTGGGTTTGTGAGTGGGCTATGAAAACGGATCAAAGTTAACATGAACATATATACATGAACTAGGCCCAAGGAATCCACACAGCTTCTTTGTGCACCGGTTTTACGCCATTTGCATCGGCGTGGGCCAAAAGAAAGCCACGCGCCAACTTTTTGGATGCTTCCCGATGAAGGTGAAAGATTGCTTCGTTTCTTTCCCATCATGTCCGACATAGCCCGCCCCCGGTTCTGGAAGCCTTTCACCTGCGGGTTAAGACGAGTCGTGCACTGGGTCGATGCTCCCTCCATCAGGAGCTCTGAGTCGCCCAGCTCCACTCCACGTTGGGGTTACCTCCATCGAGGAGGTGGGGCTCTGGTCCCGTCCCGTCCCTTTTCGGGCGAAAACGAACGAACTGGATGGCACGAAAGTGCTCGAACAGAGAGTCTGGGAAGCAATGCAAGAAGCTACTCAGCTGATTTTCATGATTTTCACTTCGATTCTGTGTTTTTGATGAAACAAGAAGCTACTAGTAACAGGTGCCTTACTAGTAGTAACAATGTTTGCTATTAATTTAATTGCGCCCAAAGGGCGGTCTGAACGATTTCTACAGGTCCAGGGGATGATTTGAGTGAGGCGTGTGCGGGGAAGTGGCGGGGTGGATGAAGGGGAGGCTACCCCCTCCTTGTCTCCGTCCTCAGATGCCAATCAACAAAAACACATTTGTGCTTTGGCGTCAGAGTGGGCAGATTCAAGGCTTCACATGTGGAGCAGGTGCAAAACATGAGGAATGTATTTACTGTGTTTACGATTCGTCTTCTGCAGAGGCCCCTTCAAATTGGCAGGGGCAAGCATCAAATTCCATAGGTTTCTACATGCACTCGACTCAATTCTAATCACACTGTTTCTCCGATGTGCACTAACTCACTTCCTCGCTTATTCGGGCTATTTGTGGCCTGAAGAGGTCGAGGAGCCAGTGCGGCTGAACATCTATGACCTCGGGAAGAGCAATACGGTGCCGCCGAGAGGGCCCTCGAGAGGGGGACATTTGCCATGTTGAGCCTTTGAGTTCGATGTTTTTCGCATTTCATCCAGCAACACCTGCCTCACATTTGTCGAATTTTTGGCTTCCCAAGAGCTCGAATCCTAGGCTGGTATCATCCTCTCAGGGTAGGGGATCACCTGAACTTCAGGTGCAGAACCTCAACGGCTGGCTGAAGCCGGTAGGCATTGGAGCCTTCCATTGCGCTGTCCAGGTGCCGTTCCGAGAGCAGAGACCATCTGGAAGTAGAGCAGAGACATGCGACCATCCATGTGGCTGTGGGTCAAAAGCCTGTAACAGTGGTTGACCACTGAAAAGTAACAGATTCCTCCATGTTCGGGATGCGAACCCACCAGGAATTTGGGGCGACCCACTGCTACTTGATCGAAAACAGCCACAGATCCAGGCACCTCGTGTTTTCCCCCCCATCGATTTGTTGAACATTCGTCGCCAGGTCTATGGCGTTGAATGGAGCTATGGCCGTTCGGAGGCGTTCGACGATGCTTTCGGGGAGATCGTTGCCGGATTGAAACGCCTTCGAAAACTGGCGGGTCTATGCCGTTGATGTATTAGATGTGCTATGAAACGACCAAGCGGGAAGTTGTTAGAGACGGCTTCCGGAAGTCATCTTCACTTCTGGTTGTTGTCTCATGGCAATGGCAGGAAGGACCACAGGATCCGCAACAAACTGGAGCTTTGAGCTGAGATGTTGAGAGTTGAAGATTCCTGCAATGGCACGGTGTTGTGACAATGAAGTCTGACCAAGACTACAACGGGACAAAGGTCACCTTGAAGGGCAAGGAAAACAGAGACGAACACTCTCAAATGGATGGAGGTTGTATTTTGCGTTGCTGTGGAACATGCAGGATCTGGTTGATCTGATCCGAGCGAAATCACGAACCTGCTTACGAACGCTTTCATTCTACCGACGCGGCGGTCTCGTCATCTCAGGTCTGGAGCTGCCTCCCTCGCATGTGTGAAGACCACACCTTTCGCGAGGTGGGAGATATGACTATCAATGTGAGGAAAAGCGGCTGTCCCCATTCTTTCTTTGAGGTGGTCGCCATGGGAAGTATCTCCATGTCAGAAGACGAAACAGTAGAGCTGATCTACAGCCTGGCGGAGGAGAGCGTGTGGAGAGCGTCCTAAGTCCTCCAGGTCCAGGGGTCCATGGCTTTGTTCCTAGTAGCTTCTTGTTTCTAATAGCTTCTTGTTACTACTAGTAAGGCCCTTGTTACTAGTAGCGATGCACTTGTTCCTAGTAGCGTCCTTGCTCCTAATGGAGCTGCTGTTGTGCTTGAATGTGGATGCCTACAGCTGTGGTCTAGGTGGAGTTCCAGGGTCTCTGGCTGCAGGACTGGCCCATGTCCGACTATGACCTCCTGAATAAGAACTGCTGCCATTTCTGTGAGGCCAGACTGCAGAAGAAATACGGTGAGAAACCTCAGACGGCGGACAGGTGACTACAGACAGATGTTGTGGTCAGCATCGGTTGGTCATTGAATGCCAAGTCTCAGCTTTGCTTCCGACCAAACAAAAGCGAGCAGACTGACAGGAACCATGTTTTTGAGAGACTTTTTGCAATCCTACAGTGCATCAGACCAAGCCCTTTCAAAACAACGGGCACCCAAACATGCTGCTGGGAGGGTGCTCCCCCCATGTCCTGGTGCACTGTCCAGGAGCTATGCCAATCCCTTGGTCTTGGGCCGTTGCCGAGCCGAGTGTGGAGCTGAGTGCAGGGTTCTGGAGAGGAGACCAAAGAGATCAATGAGTTTCTCGTCCAAGGTGAAGAAATTGGCTGGCTTGGGTGCCACCTTGAACGAAACTGCTGTAGTGGCTGCAGACCAAGTCTACCAGGCACGCGGACACCTTCGACGAATGGTTGTACCAGGTTGGCGTCTTGATGCACGGGATGTTTTCGTGAGACTGCAGATCTAGAGCATGTGAACGCGATGGTTGCAGGTCATGATGCGTGCTCTGACGTCTTAAGTCCTTGTCTTTTCTGAAGTAAGGCTCTATAGGTGGCCAAACCGTAGTGGGAATTGCACATGAACATGAAGGGTGGTTTTCTTCTTGGAATTTGTGAGGAGTTGATGGTTGGAGGTCAGGATACTTTTTTCGGCTTTCTCAACTTGCTGCCAAACAAAACCTATGCCATGCCGCCTTCCGCCTCACGCGACGATGCCTTCTTGGGTGCCATCCCTCAGCGCAAAAGAAGGACTGATCGCCGCCGTGAGGGCTCCTCAAATCCCTTCTTGAGGTTGGTCGCAGGTTGCCAACTTGCATGAAGTGATGCTTGCAGGTCGTGCAAAATGACGCTCCCTTGGGTTGAAACAGCGGAACTCTCGAGACACGGAACGTGCGGTCGCCTTCACTGATCCACGAGGTCCTTCACTGAGCCGTATGGACCGGGACCGCCGATTTCGTGCGTGCGCCGGTCGCAGGTGGCCTCCAAAGTGAAGTCCGACCTCGTAGGCGGGCGCGGATCACGAAGTCACCGTCGATGTAGAGGACGGTGGAAACACCAGAGTGCTCCTCCCCTACCCGAAAAGGAGTGGATCCAAGATGGCGAAGAATTCTTGTTCCTAGAAGCTTCTTGCTACTAGTAGTACGGCCAGGAGCCCCTAGTAGCTTCTTGCTCCTAGTAGTAAGGGAGCCGCTAATGAACATTTTGGTTGGGGGAAGCCGTATTTTTGGGACCAGAAGTCCATGGAAAGGTAGTTCCCTCCTTCCGGAAGAGGCGCTGGTTATGTCGCGACCACGCTGGCAGCAGCTCTGGCGAGTATTGGGAGTGCTTTTTCTTGGTTATTTATTTCGTGCAGTCGTTGTTTCTCTCCATTCCCGAAAACATCACTTCTTTAGGCATATGAAGAAATGTAGACCATTTGACCATATTCAGAAAGATATGAACACAGCAGTCATTGTTTAGGTTGGTGCTTTATACTTCTTTTGGCCGGAGCAGACACCCCCCGCCGGTTGCTCCACAAAATTCACTCACAGTACCTTACGCGGAGCAGACACCCGACGTCCAGGTTTCTGCTGTGAACGGCCTGTCGAACCGGCGGAGCCGCACTGAGCTGGATGGAAAAAGGGGCTCCATTCAGCGTGATCGATGCGAAGCGAAGTGGAGTGGGAGATTGGAGGATGTCATTTGTTGCTGGTTTTTTTTTGCTTCCGGATGAAGGGATGACGTGCAGGTGCAAAAAGTCTTCTAGACCATACCAAACACGAGCATATGAGGATATTTAGGCTTTTGTAAAAACATGAGAACCCCTTAGTGGCCAGAGTTTGAGGAAGTAGTCATCAGAGTCATCAGACAAATTTGCAGTGGTCTCAAAGGCGGATGAGATGAATGTCATGTTGACTGTTGATTGATAGAAAGCCAAATCAAAAGCATACCGAGATGTAGAACCATCCTGGTAGTTTCTTTTTGACAGTCAACAGTCAACTGGAGGAATGCATAGAACATCCAATCCATTTGCCAAAAGAATTGGCGCTGGTCGCATCGCCTGAGGATTACCTCCACAGAGCTGGTCGAACCGCTCGGTATGGTGAACCTGGGAAGGTCGCTGGGCGAATCTTCGAAGCGAAGCCACACCTGCAAGATCTGAAGCTACCAACGGAGCATTTTGGGCATCGCGACATGAACGGAGCGATCGGACGCTACGGGCCTTACTACTGGGAACAAGAAGCTAGTAGGGGGGGCTCCTGGCATGGAAGATCTGAAGAGGAAGAGAATCGGCAGCATCATCCACACGACTCACCTAGAGACTCCAGATTGGCCAAGCAGGAACCTGTAGGGATGATGGTTGAGGATGAAAACCCTGGCCTCCTGGCCAGTGCCAGGTCACTTCGTTGGTGAAGAAAGGAGATCGAGCACTTGCAAAGGTGGGTAATTCGGTTGAACGAGCTCACCATTAAACCAAGACAGGTGTTAGAAACCATGTAAGTAATGCAAGGTATGCAACCATGTACAAGTTACATCATAAGCACTTCAACAATTTGTTTAGGACCTGGCAGCTTCAAGTCTGAGCCACCGCAAGAATGCACTTAACCTGTTGGCATTCTTCTTTTGTCTCCCAGAGTCAGCGCCTGGAAAGCTGCAGACGTCGAAACGAAAGGCATACGGAAATACGCCCCAGCTGCGAAGAGTCAAAGGTCGGCCCAACAAGAGAAGAAACGGTCTCGAAGGTTCATTGAAGCAATCAGCATCGGGAGACGCGAGACTTTTTCATTTTTTTTCAATTTCACAGCGACACCGACAGCGACATGCATTCTTGTCTGAGTTGGAAAAGGATTCGATTTCGGCCCCTCTGAATCGTGGCGCCAGGCCATTGAGCGTTCGACCCAGTTGGGCCGACCCATCAATGAATTGTCCGGGCCCACGGATTCGGGATTCGAGTATTCTAGTCCGAGATCGTCGTTGGTAGAGCAGACTCGACTCCAAGCAGTGGAAGATGAGCATTTGAGGAAGAAGAGTCGGAATGAATTCAGAAGTCAGATTTGAAGATGTTGGACCATGCAGAAGTTCCCTGACACCAGCCGGTGCTCGTCTTCCTCTCAAGAGCTGGGCCGGCTAAGGCAGCAAGCCACTTTGGACACCGTTGTTGTCATGAAACACGTTACAATTACAATGGCACATCCTTGTCATGAAACCATCCTGGTGACAAAGTCCTGGATATTTCCTCCATGACACCAGTGGAGTCATGTGTCATCGTCAGTGGAGTCTCATCAACCTGTCGTCGCTTTCCTACGCCATGGCACTATGGCGCTCCCAGAAACGATTTTCGAGTGCGCGAAGGGCGGGAGATGAAGACAGATGATGTGGACAGCAGAGACCAAGTTCATTCGTGTGAATGGAATGAGTATGAATGAGTAATGATTCAATACCCCGACTTCCATCCTTCCATTCCTTGTCAAACTGTGGATGAGGGGAATCGAAGTTTCTGAGATGGTCTAACCGTCTAAACAAGGGGTTTGGTCGAGAGAGTGACCTGAGGTACAATGCTGCGATCAGTGCATCTGGTCGTGAGACCTGCAACTCGTCTACGATGAGTTTTCGAGAGGTCATCAATCCTCGAATTGAGTGGAGATCACCTTTCGTTTTAAGATTTGATATGTGTATATTATTCAATATATATGTATATATATATATATCATACATGTCAAAAAGACATTTAGAAGAACAAACAAAACGTTCTTTCAGACCTTTTCTTTTTTTCCAATTGATTTCCTCACTCGTCGGCGGGTGGCCATTCCGCTTCTTCGCTGACCCATTTCGCTAGGTTGGCCCAATTCTTTGGTACTCTTGGAGCTCTTGGTGCAACAAGGCCTCTGTGAAAACCTCTTGTGCACGGCAGATGATGGTACATGGCTGTGGCTCAACTGGGGGCATCTTCGACATGAAGCTCGCCTTAGGGGATCAATCTTCAGCACTCTGTGCTTGATTCGTATATGTATACATATATATATATATATAGATAGACATTTCTGTGTCCTCTGGCCAAAGTGCCTGGGGTGTTTGCACCTCTGTGTTCTCTCAGGTCCAAAGGGTTAGTTGGTTTTTCAGACCTGCCCGGGCAGGTCTGGTTCCTACAATCGTGTCCAGGCGTGCCGCGCATTTGGTACATCAAGTTCTTCTTGTTCCTTTTTGGAGGATTTTAGGAGTTGTCACGCCACTCGATTTGGTGCTGGACAGGGGAGGTGCCTTTTGTCGTTACTTCGCTCTTTCCGCGTCCAGTGCCCGCTGGGGTGCCCCGGACCCAGCCGGCCAGGAGCGCTGCAGTGGGTGCCTGCAGCAGATCTGCCAGGCCACGGGCCAGCCATGCACGGTGACTCCAGTGGGAGCGACTCATGTCCGGAGGCGACCCCCGGTGGTTTCTTGGGGGTTTTGGAGTGATGCACGCAAGGGTTGCAAGCAGAACCCTGCGAATTGACGGTCTTTGTTTTTAGTCTTATTCATTGTCCTGTGACTCTTTCCTGCGAGAACGCTGCAGGTGGCAGAGAGGCCTTGCATTGCTTCGATGCATCGAAAATACTTCCATTCGCCCAAATGTCTCCTGGCCAAAAGTGACAGAGTCCTCAAAGAAAGACGTTTGAAAGAATGGTGGACATTCTTACACAACCTCAGAGTGACCGAGGCAAATCCAATGGATACCACAATTGAGACACCATCCACTTAGCCACAAAGCCAGAACAATGGCCAAATTTGTTCAACATATTTGTGAGTGAACATTTGTATGGACGGTTGTGTGCAAGCGTGTCAAGGCCGTAGCCTTCAATGCCGTGACTTGGCTGTAGTGTCGTGATTCACGTGAAGACCATGGTGCCATAGAAGGCAAAGAGGACTGTCTGAGAAACCCTGAGGAGGCGATTGTAAGGACCACTCAAGGATGAACGACCCCATTGACATTGGCACATGATGACCGCAAAAGGAGAGCAGCTTTCAACAGTGCCCTTGGTGAGGTCAGTAGCAGCTCTGGAAAAGCTGGGAAGTGGCTTTGGAGTTGCCAAAACTTTGACGCTCTGCAGCACTACTCTCCAGTCACCAGCCTGGAGCTTCTGTCGAGCTGCCGAGTGGCCGGAATCGGCTCGTCGGACGGCGAGTCGGGCGATGTCGTCGGCTCCAAAAGCACTTTCCACTGACGTCGACGATCGACGAAGATCAAAGGACGGAACACTGAAACTATCTGAAACTCGGTTGGCACAGGAGACCTTGCGCTGGAGGTCCATCCTGCCAACTCTTCAGAGCTTCGGTGCTGCGACGCTTGGCTGAGGACGAGGCCGGAAGATGAACTGGGCGACAAGACTTCCAGTGGCACACTCCCATCTGCGACAAGACTGGTGGGTCATGGTGGGTCTTCCTAACCTTAAGCCGCAGAGGGGTCAAGTTGCCCCTTTAGCTTCCACTGCATCGGAGCAGTTGTTGCGAAGACGTGACATTTCATGAGCTATCAACGATGATGGTGCGTGATTGAAGACTCCAACGCCAAACTAGGTCCCTTTCCTCTCAAACTTTCAATGGTTTTCAGACAGAGTACCGGGTATTTGCTCTTGATTCTGACTTGGCATTCTTCCTGTCACTAGGCATGCAATTGTTCCTCCAGTCCAAACTTCCATCAACTTCCTGCATACGACCAAATCTGGTGCAACGTGTACAAAACAAGACTCTAGAGAAGCCGCAGCCATTGCGTTGAACAGAAAGACCTTTCAGAAGGATTATATAAAAGGCTTTGAGTCATCTTGCACGGTGTTTTTTTCAACATGGGCGCCATGCTCCTCCGATTCAAAGGCTCTCCGCTGTCTTGGCCTGGACCGCCGCCTTGCAGCTTTACGTGCAGATTTCACTCATGCTCCTTAGTCGCAGATCATTTTCCGCACTGGGCGGTCCTGGTTCTTCTTCTCAAGTAGCTGAAAATGAAGAGGTTTATGTTTGGTATGATTCAGTGAACGCCAAGTTCTTCCCTGCCGCAGAAAGACCACAATGTTGCTCTTCCAAAGATCAATGACACTCAATTGAACACCTACTGTGCAACCTTTTCAAGTGCCTCAACAAGCGCACCCTCACACACACGTTTAAATGTTGTGCCTGAGATAGGAACCACGAGATGTGACGACTCAGTCAGCCACGGAAGAACCGCACACTGACTGACTAGGGCAGCAAGGTATACGGGCTGTTCGAGTGAGGCATTTAGACCCGGACCTGGTTGCCTTGAACGCCCTCTGCGGGGCGGCGGCTGTCTCTGGTCGGTGGCTGCTGACACTGCGACTCATGCATGCTGCAGTTCACGCACGCTTGCAGTGTGATGCCGTGACAGGAACCTGAAACGTGTCATAAGTGGCGCATTTGGTTGATATGATCAAACTGATTAGTTGTCTCAAGAAACCGTGTGGCCTAAATGAAGCGTTCCAAAAAATGGGAACTAGATTTTGACCTCTAAACAGGATAAAGATAGATTTTGAGATGCTTCAGTTACTTGTTTCTAGGACTTGCAACCAGTTTTCATGGGAGTTCCATGCTCCACACAGCGTCCGCATGGAGGAACGGCGTTGATGAGCTCTTGTGAGACCTGCCGAGCTTGGAGAGAAGGGCTTTTGATGTGGAGAGCATTGCGGCAGGACGGTTTTGGACGGTTTTTTGAAGTGCAGAGTCTTTTTTTCTCAATGCCGTTAGGGAGAGTTTTTCGAAGACATTTGGGTCATATAGTCATCATATAGTCATGTAGCAGCTATAGCATGGGTTTTCAATCTGCAAGAAACCAGTAAGATCAGAACCGATAGTAAGATTCAAACCCTCCTTTTGTCCTCTGTTTTTGTCGTCTTTGTCTCTTTTCTTGAACTCCCATCTAGGATGGCATGACTGCAAATCTCATCCAGCTCAATTCTGTCATCAGCAACCTTGGCAAAGGTGCGGTGTGTGTGGAAGACGGATGGGAGACGGATGGGACGGGGGGTTCGGGTGTCCAACGAAGTTCAGGACACACATCACTCACATCACACCGCCAAGAGCGGTCGAATCAACAGGATGTGGTGGAAAACCATTGGAACACTTGTTGGTTGCCTACCGTGAGGTCGACATTGGGAGCTTGTTGGAGATTTGCTGCACACGGAGGGGATGCAGCCGGATGAGGTGACAATCTGCAGCAGCCTCGCAGCATGCTGCCGCTGGTCTTTTAGGTGACCAAACTTGGCCCTGGGACCTGGACTCCGATGGTTGGTCGGATAGCCTTACATGTCAAGAGAGGCATTGTTGTGGCACGAAAGTGTTCACCAGTCATAAAAGACTGGACGCAGGGAGCACTCTCAGAGTCAAGAAAACTCTTACATCTGAGGCGACAGCAAAAACAGCTAGCAAAGGGAAATTCGGACACCGAATTCTGGGAGGGCTCCCAGCAAACCTGACACAGGTCGGAAAGACCTGTCCGTGTCCCATTCAGGCGATGGTCTTCAGTGGGAGCTCGCTTTGTCCTGCTTTGGCACCGACGTGGTCCACGGCAGCGCGGTGTCGGAGGGACTAAGACACGAAGAGAAAGACATACAGAGTGGGCTGGTTGACCTGTCCAGGACTAGCTTCCAGTACTTGCCTCCCTGGGGTCCAGACTGTACTTAGAAGATTTCATCTGTGTTGGGGGGGCTTGACCGGGCCAGAAAAAACATTGACCTGGCCTGCTACAAACACAAAATGGTTTTCCAAAGGAGGATTGGCCTCGGATGGCCTCGGTAGTCCTTTCGCATTCCTTTCCGCAGATGCTTTGAGGTACTGACCCGAAAGCTGCCACAGGGCTACTCGGGGCCTTGCGAGGTGCTCAGCAGTGGCGTCGGGTGCGGCACATCTTCATGCAGGCGCATGCAATGTGCACCGTTGGTTCTTTAGAGAGGTCAGAGATGTCATCAAACCTTTTCGGAATGCTTTCGGTATTTGTCATTCTTCGGTTTTGCTTCCGCGTGCTCGACCGCCTGCTTTTCCATTGGTAGGTCTCCGTGGACCTCCCTTGCATCAACGAGGTGGTGGCGACGAGCTCGACCAGTTGGCAATGGCCAGTGGCCTTGAACGACTTTCTACAGATCCAGGAGCGCTGCGACCAAAAGCCAAAAGAACCGCCACGCTTGCGTTTTTGGCGCAGCGTGAGGGAAGGCGTTGTTCCAAATCAATCCATCAAATCAATCCACTTTGGAGTTGGTGATCTGGCGTGCACCATAGTTGTCTGTGAAGTGCAGGACATTCAGCTACAGCCAGATACGGTGGTGTCTCGGCTGCAAATGTCCGATCTAAAAGCCGAGACACTGCCACTTGCCACTTACAGGTCAGCTCTGCTGTGGGGGCGGGGGCCAGGGTACTGTTTTGGTATTCTGGTGCTTCAGCTCAGTTCGGATGTTTGCATTGGGACCGACTGCTTTGGGCCCAAAGTGCCTCTCCCTGCGGCTCTGTCGATCAGACGGTTTGAGCGGTCTTCGGAAAGGCCACGAGCCTCGATCCGCTCCGAGGCTCGGAATACGCTCCTGGCGGCGTTCTTGCCCAAAGGATCGTGGCAGCAGATGATGCTCCATTTCGATGAGATTGGTGGGAGGCTCAGCAGGACAGCTGTGTCCTACTCAGCCCTCAAGGTGCTGAGGAGTTGGACTGAACATGATTTAACTGTATTGAACTTCCTGTACCTGTTACAATGCAAGTGCCAAAGGGGCCTCATGCTCTTGAGGTGACCTCAAGGGCTTCTGCTGTGCAGCAACCTGCTATGCGCGTGCAGCGCAGCAAGAGGAGCTGCTAGCACTGCTGAGGCTATCCCCAGCGCATGCCGGCGCATGCCCCGGCCCAGGGTGGGTCGATGTCCAAACCCCGGTAGATGGACCTCCGACTCGTCGACTTGGTCAGACCCGAGGTCTCCCGGTGCCATGACCGACGTAGAGACGGTCGAACTTCTTTTTGTGGTTGAGACTTGCTCGAAACTCGAGAAAGTGAGGGGTTATAATGAGATGTTTTTGAATGTAGACTTGGACTTGACCAAACTTCGTCGCTTGAAGGTTGGTTCAGTTTGTTGACCAACACTGTTGCGACGCTGCAGTTGCGACGCCTCGCCACCACCGAAAACCGTTTGAGGCGCTCGACGTCGACGAGGTCGAGGCCCCGGTGGAGCCGCGGGTGGAGCCCGGTGGAGGTATTTCAGAATTGCGATACCCAGTGACCTGAGTCACTTGAAACCTTTGCATTGCCGAGTTCAGCTTGTGCAGCTTGTGCTCCGCATGGCTCCGCATGGCTCCGCACCTCCAGGCTGGATCTGGATTTGAGTGAGCTAACCCTGGCGGCATCAAGTGCACAATTGCCTCCAGACATCTTGGAGTGCTTGCGACCACCTGTCCTGTCACGGCTCGGAAAAGGAGCAGTCCTTCACGAGGCGAATCCTATGAGGCAGAATCTCACTGTGGGCTTGGTAGGCTTGGTAGGTTTGCCATCGGCCTGCAAGTGAGAGTCTTTCTTGATATATATATATATACAGAGATATACATACGCATTACTGTACACACACATAATCACAAATATGCATTACATAATATGTATATATACATATTAATATAGTAGCAAGTCACTGATGCTCACAGAGTTCCATCGTCGCCTGAGGTCTTCTGACCGGCGGGATTACCTCCGAGGAGGACAGGGCAGCAATTCATGGCAAGGCGACGAAGAATGCTAGTAGCGTCGGCGTCTTGTTCCTAGTAGTAATGCCAGGAGCCCCTAATAGCTTCTTGTAACTACTAGTAAGGCACTTGTTACAAAAAGATGCACTTGTTCCTAGTAGTGTCTTGTTCCTAGTAGTAATGCCAGGAGCGCCCCATTCGTAGCGTCCGATCGCTCCGTTCGGTTCGGTTGCATTTGTGACTTATGTGACCCCCCCAAACATCCCCAAGCCAGTGATTCATAGTCCTCGACTTCGCCACCGGTCTGTATGTGCATGTACCTACTTTGAAAGATTCTGGCTTTGTTAGTCATTTCTGTTCGAAGCCAAATCGCCGGGCAGGCAAGAACTAGGTGCTGAGGAGTTTTCTTAACCTCATCGAAACACATACACACACACACAAAAATGAATCTGTCATGAAAAAAGCTACGCCTCAAGTTCTCAAACAGTCCGGAAGTTTCTGTTCTGAACTCTATCAGAATGACCTGACCTCTCTGACCTCCCTGGGACCGTTTTGCCTGCCAAGAGCCGAAGTGCAGCCGAAGTGCAGCTGCTCCAGCTGCTCGCTCCTCAGGAGCCTTGGGGGAGCTGATGGAGCGCCATCCCCGGGCAGCAAGGACGATGAGTCGAGAAGAGTCCGAGTGCCCCAGGGACGCGATGTCGGACGGTTCTGTTCTTTTTCCTTTTGAAGAAGCCGAGCTGGTCTCAAAGTGTTCGGCTCCTGAGGCTCCTGGTAGGTCTGCATCGTTCTGCATGCTTTTTTGGCGATTTTTCTGGCTGGAGGTCTTGTTAGGAGGCTTTTTAGGGATTTGAGTCTGAAAGATTCCTTCATCTCACGAACAGACCAATCCCTTCACGTTGGCTCACCTGATGCGAAGCCTCTTGGCCAAGGCGAGGACTTTCTCCAACGAAGCCTTATGCTGGTGGACTGAGATGAGAGGCTCTGAGAGGGTGAGGTGGTCTCCACCGGTGATAAAGCCCGAGACCCTCTGGAGTTGGAAGCAGAAAAAGTGCTGCTTCGGAAGACGGACGTTGTTGTCATGGTTCCAAAGCATTTGGCGGGCCTATCTCCACAGGGCCTTGAAGTCACTTGTTTGAATTCAACTTCAAGACCTCTCTTTCTAGTCGAAGTCGACGGAAGCGAGAGAAGTCTGCTGGCAGCTCGGTCCGCAGGCCGCGCGCTGCGACGCCAAGGCGCATGCTTGGCGAGCGCCGCACATCGAAGTCGAACGGCCTTCTGAACGTTGCTTTCTGGTGCCACTTGCGTGTCCACGGAGCAGCTTCGGCTCTCGCTGTGCTTTTTCACGGGCGCACTCGAATCGGTGGCACCGGCGTGTACGGCCTCACCTGATGCGTTTCTGTGGTCATCGTGTGTTTTGATCATCGACGATCTGTCAACTCCCAATTCGATGCTCTGACGCGGTGATCAACACTTCACATGCCAGAGACGTCATCGCAATATGAAGCCATGGCAGTCCGTATGTATCGTTCTGTTTCGTTCAACACTTCAGATTTCGCATGCAAAGCCATTGGGTATGGCTCAGGCCCCGCCCAACACGCTGGCCATTGAGATGCTGAGTGGCCCCCCCTTCCACCCAGCCCAACTTTTGAAGGGCTGCTTCTTGCTTGGTTGCAAGCTCCTCAACACCTTAGTAGACACAATAAGCTACTAGGAACAAGTGCCACGCTGGTAGTAACAAGTGCCTTACTAGTAGTAACAAGAAGCGAACGTAGACTCCATCCCCGAATGAACGCAACGCGCAGTTCGAGTCGAACGCGTGGGACCGGCGATCCGACGGCGCGGCCGTGCGACGGACGTCTCCTCGCACGCCTCGGTCGTAGCGGCGGCCGAACGGTGGTCCGGTGGTCCAGTGCGCGTGTCACCAGCTTCGGCATGCAGCTTCGAAAGATCAGAGCAAACTGAGCAAACCCACCCTGAAACCAGGCGCCTGGTGTGAACATGACATGAGATTGGTATGCACATTAGTAGCAAAAAAACCGTGCAAGCCAAGCACCAGTAGCTCAAACGCGATATCGCGCTGAACTCTGAACACAACACAAATGATCACCTGGGCGAAACCCTGCCAAGAAGGTTTCTCACCAGAAGGGAAGTCCCATGCAACAAAGACGAGCTTTCAGAGCGAAGGAGGGAGGAGGGAGTGAATGTGTCAGGTAAGAGTGGGAGTGTGGGTGTGAATGAGAGAGAGAGAGAGAGTGAGTGAGTGAGTGAGAGAGAGAGAGAGAAGGAGAGAGAGAGAGAGTGTGTGTGTGTGAGTGAGTGAGTGAGTGAGAGAGAGAGAGACAGAGAGAGAGAGAGAGAGTTACTCAATGATTGCGTGCGGGTGTGAATCAGGGAGTGAGTAATCGAGCCAGTGAATCCGTGAATTTGTGCGGATCATGCAAGGAACAACAAAAAACATCATGGCCACTTTTAAACCCCAAGCCCCTTTGACCTCCCATTGACTTGCACTGCCTTGCTTCTCGGACCCCACCGCCGTCGCCCCAGCCCGAGAAAGATGCTCAGTTTGCTGCTCCCGACGCTGGCGACGGCGCGAGCAGCGCGAAGTCGTGGTTTCAAGAAGGCAACGTCCGACATCGTGGCTGGGGAGTTGCCCACTGCAGCTGCACTGCAGCCTTTGCAGTCCACATCACGAGAGTTTGTGTTCAGCATGTCTCACACCACTGCGATCCGCCCACAGCGATCCGTTCACATCGCCCAAGATCCGCCGAAGTGAGGAAGCGGCCTCCGAATCCACAAAGAGACAATCTTGAACCTTTTTGAACCCTTTTTTCCCCAAAGAGCATGAGCTATTGGGGGTTCTTACTTCCAGTGTTGGAAGAACTGCGTGTGTGCGCTTTCGAGCCTGTGTGCTGGTTCCGCTGCAGGGTGCCGCTGCTGTGCGCTTGGGGGCTCGGGCACTGGTGCCGCTGCAGGGTGCCGCTGCTGGTGCTGCTGTTGTGTGCCGCTGCTGTGTGCGCTTGCTTTTGGTACGGCGTGCTGTTTCCAGGAACGTTGTGAAACGCGGGTGCCAATGCTATCTGGCATCTATGCTGGGGACTCTGCTGGCTCAAAAGTGTGGTCTTGCTATCCGCCCTCAGTTTGAGGAAGGCGCTCCCGGCGTTCTTCTTGGTGAAGGGAACATACACAATGCCCCCGGGGCGAATTCCGGCGAACAGCATACTCAGCAAACCATATCACAGGACAGATCTGCGGGCCGACCGCTACGAAGCTTCCTGGCGGGGCAGAGTTGGGTGTCAACCCGGGGCCATCGCGGCGCCCACACCGCTGGCCACTAGGCCGCTAGGCCGCTCACCGACCAGGAGGTCGGTTGACGTTTTGTTAGGCCGCGCACGGCAACAAGGAACGTCCACACCAGCGGAAACATATTGGGGGATGACCGAGCTAAGTCGCCGTCGGAATTCCTATCGTGCAACACCTAGCTTTGCAGGTTTCTACGCCAGATGCCTTGGAATTTCTTTTTGTGTGTGTGTCAACCCCTGTCTCCAAGGGTTCCACCTCACAATTTCCACTGTTCAAGCAGGGGGACCAGGCATCTCGCAGCTAACCTGGCCTAACAAAGCTAGGCAGCGAGATGGGAAGCACTGAGAGACGTCTCGGTGTGTACCTGCTGAGTTCTTCACAAGCTGTGACCCTCCTTCTCCACGGTTTGTTTCATGGTGGTTCGCATGATACTTCCCGCAAACCTTTTCTTCTGCCGCTTGTCCTGCAGCTGAGCCGCGTTGATGTTCGCCACCGCAGACATGTCAACAGATTGTTAAAACCATACAAGTGCGCTGACCCTCTCACCTTTCCGTTCCATCGCCGCTTTCCTGCGAATTGAGCTAACTGAAAACCAATGTCAGAGTGTGTCAACCCCTGTAACCAAGGGTTTCCACCTCAGGATTTGTTTTGTTTCCACTTTCAGCAGGGGGACATGGCGTGCGTTCAGGGACCATGTCCAACGAAGCTACCTGACGCACGGGGAGCACTGAGAGACGTCTCGGTGTGTACCTGCTTCAACTTTTGATCAAGTTGTGGCTCCACTGTTCTCGGCTTGATTCATGGTTCTTTCACGATACTTCCCCACAAACAGGTTGCCCTCCGCCGCTTTCCACCGTTGCTGAGCGCTTTCCGCAGTCAAGTGAGAAACTTTTTTGTTGTTAAAACACCTACAAGTGCTTGGACCTCTCGCCTTGCCGTTCTTTCACCTTCCTTCCACCTGGGAATTGAATAACTGAAAACCAATGTCAGGGACTCGCTCAGTCGTCCCACTTGGGTGCTGGGTGTGAACTGCTCAGTTTCATGCTTGCAGCTCACTTTCAATTTCCAGAGTGTACAGTCACACATTTTCCACCACGGTCACTTTGAGATCAGGCACGTTACGTTTCAAACTCAATTTCCACTTGTCACTTGTTCTCAATTTTCTCCCATGTAGTGAGACTATACGTCCTAAAGGGACACAATGCCAAAGATTGTTGGCGGCTTTTGCGAAAAGTCACACGTGCGCCGACGGCCACGTGTGTGTGTCAACCCCTGTAACCAAGGGTTTCCTCCTCAGGATTTGTTTTTTTTCCACTTTAGCAGGGGGACATGGCGTGCGTTCAGGGACCATGTCCAACGAAGCTACCTGACGCACGGGAAGCACTGAGAGACGTCTCGGTGTGTACCTGCTTCAACTTTTGATCAGCTGTGACTCCAC